TTTTTTTTTTTTTTTTTTCACGCGATCATCGAGTAGTGTTTGTTTGTCGCGTTCAAACTAAAATCATCGCGATGGAAATACTTGGGTGCCGACACCGCCGTGCACATTTAACGTGATTATTTTTTTTTATTAATCTACAACAACGGTGGTAGTTGATATCATCGCCGCCACCGCCACACACTAGCGGCGCGCGCTCGCTCCTCACTCCTAACACACGTTTTACCCCCGGGTCATTTGATTATTATTACAAGTTGGTGGTCCTGAAAAGGACCGTTTTAGTGGAGAATGGTTCGAGAAAAATTTACTTCTTCTTGGGGGCGGCCGCCTTCTTGACCGGAGTCTTTTTTGCCTTTGGAGGCTTGGCCTTGGTGGCTGGCGCTTTCTTCGCCTTGGCCGGGGACTTCTTCGGCTTGGCCGCTTTGGGTTTGACAGCGGACGCGGTCTTGGCTTTCTTGGCGGCCGGTTCGGAGGAGGACTTGGCTTTCTTGGGCGCGGACTTCCTCTTTTTGCCGGGCGTTCCCGGGGCGGTTTTTTTGGCTGCCGGCTTCTTCTTGGGCACCGCTTTCTTCACGGCCTTGGCTTCGGCTGCCAATTTGAAATGCCCGGAAGCACCGGATCCGTTGGTCTGCACCAGCGTACCCTTGGCGACGGCGGCCTTCAGGAATTTCCTGATGAACGGAGCCAATTTGGCAGCGTCCACCTTGTAGTTGGCGGCCAAGTATTTCTTGATGGCGGGCAACGACGATCCCTTTTTCTCCTTCAGGTTCTTGATGGCCGACGTGACCATGACGGCCGTGGTCGGGTGAGACGCGGCGGGCTTCTTTGCCTTGGCTGCCGGCGCCTTCTTCTTGACGGGCGATTTTGCGGCTGCCGGTGTTGCCGGCACTGGAGCTGCTGCTGAATCGGTCATGTCTGTACTGGTTCGATTGGCTGAGTGTAGTCTACGTGAGTGTAAGTGCAACTGTACGCGGGTACGATACCGTGCCGACGGTGGCCCGCAGTTTACATACGGCTCGTCGTACCGACTAGTAATCGAACGCTCAGCGAGAATCGTCGCTCAGCGATATTCGCAACACTTTTTCGTTAATTAACTGGCCGCCGACTCGCTTGGTACTCCGAAACGAACGTTTATCCAATGTCCTCATGCTACTCGTTCGGCCTTTCAACCGGGTTTCGCCTCCACCGGCACCCCCGCCGAATAACCGACGGTTTTTTTCGGACAGTCTGCGTTTTTTAGTACGCTCTTTTTATTTACCCCTAAACGTCTACAATTCGACTTGGACCGACCGCCCGTCGTCCCGCTCGCATCTCCAGATGTTTTCGAGACGTCCCGACGCGGCCCCCGAGCCGATTTCGCGGTATTTACGACTTCAGCGCCTTTTGAAAATCGGTCGATCCGAAACACGGATCGTACGCTATACGGTCGGGTCATGACAACTTGACCGATATTTGCGATCCAAAAGAAACTTGGCCGATATATTTTCTTATCGCCCATCGAGACGGCCCGGAGACTCGGAGGTGCGGACACCGTCGTCCGACCCGAATTCCTCCGGAGTCCCATAGAGGGCGATTACCGGATCCCCGTTTTGACGGCGCGGTCCAGTCGCACTCGCGAAGGGACATCTCAAAAAAACTCGTATCCTGGGCGCGCTTCCCGTGAAGTTGTTTTTTTGTGAAAAATCAAAATCCCCTATAAATATAATATTTCAAAACTAACGGCGCGCATAAGACCGTCCCGGTCGCGCGGACGGCAGACTCCGGGGCATTCGTTAAATCGGTGCCGGGACGAACCGTATTGCACACCTGATGCTGCCTCGGTGTGAGGACCGCGGGCGAAAAATCATCGGCGTGACCGACTTTCGATGTATAACCGGTCCGGCACGTCGATATCCGCACAACGTACCCCCCGACCGTGCCGGAGTATCGGCGCAACAGTCGTAACGGCCTGCGGGATGATACGCTCGCAGCGACAAATATACACACGGCAGGAGTGGTGTCGCTCGCGATCGTCGAAATCGAGTAAAACAGCGAAATTTTTCGTTCCGAGTACGGCGCCCGATTCACAAAATGTCGGCCAACACAAACCGTACACCTTAGCGGCATTTCCAGTACTCGCACGGGGTGTCGGAAC